TCTAAAACCACTTCATTAATCAAACTCAAAATTTTAGTAATCTTGTTTTTTTAAATTGAAAATATTACAGGACTGACTAATGTGCCAACATTAAATTATATCCGCAATATCGATCTAGTAAACCGCTTGAATCATTCATCGATGAAAACACCTGACATACAATGGTTTCGAAACCACAGACAATCTAGCTTTTTTGTCTGTGTCAAAGCTGAAAATAAAGTAAAGTCTGTTTGGAAATGAAAGAGAGTAATAAAACCCCGAGATAAGAACCGGCCATGGGCGTGGTAATATTTCGTTTCAGGTAATTATCGGGTAACACTAATGCTAACAAAAATGACAGGGATTGGAAAATCGACTATCTACAGACTTTTAAAGGAAACAAAAAATGAACAAGATACTGTAAATCCCCCAAAATCATCTACAGGGAGGTCAAAAGTCGTTATAGATGATTTCTTCAAAAATGTCATTCGCAGAAAAGTACACTCATTTTATTTTAAAAAAGAAATACCAACGCTAAACAAAATTTTAAGTGAACTTTCAGAGGACAACGATTTGCCAAAAATCAGTAGAAGCAAATTATGGGCCGTCTTACGAGAGTTGAATTTTTGCTGGGAAAAGCAGAACAGGAAGTCAGTTCTTATCGATAAAGATGAAATTATTTGTTGGCGAAGATCCTACTTAAGATCAATTAGAAAATTCCGTGACGAAGGGAGGAATATTTATTATCTAGACGAAACTTGGGTCAACGAGGGATATACTGTAACAAAAGTATGGCAAGATAAAAATGTAAAAAGTTTTCGACAAGCATTTTTGGATGGACTTTCAACAGGGTTCAAGGCACCTTCAGGTAAAGGGCGAAGATTAATAGTGACACATATAGGTAGTGCCAGTGGTTTTGTAGATGGCGGTTTACTTTTATTTGAATCTAAAAATACAGGTGACTATCACGAAGACATGAACGCAGATGTTTTCGAAGAGTATTTTACACAGATGTTGGATCTTATTCCTCCGGGGTCTGTAATTGTCATGGATAATGCCAGTTACCATTCACGGCAGACCGAGCGGACGCCTACGACTGCTTGGAGGAAAGCCGATATAATTCAATGGTTATCCGGAAAAAACATTTCTTTTGAAACAAATATGGTGAAAAAGGAACTTTTGACACTTGTCAATCTTAATAAAGATCAGAAAAAATATGTTATCGATGAAATGGCAACAAATCGCCAAATAACGGTACTACGGTTACCACCTTATCACTGTGAACTTAACCCAATCGAATTAGTCTGGGCGCAGGTAAAAGGAGATGTAGCGCGAAATAATACGACGTTTAAATTAAGTGACGTGAAAATTTTGTTAAAAAATTCCTTGGAACGAGTAACTGCAGATAACTGGCAAAGATGTATACATCATGTACAAAAAGAAGAGGAGAAAATGTGGGAACTCGATAATTTAATTGACGTTACTGTGGAACCTATCGTTATCAATCTAGGAGACGAAGATAATTCATCAGAATATTCAGAGGATGAATTTTAATATACCTACTTTTTTATTTTCTTTATTGTACATTTATACAACACTACATTTACTCACCATAATTTGAATTTTCAAAATACATATATTTTTGTGTGGAATAAAAGTCTATTCATTAAATTTAAATAAATATTTTGATAATAATATTGAATAATTTTATTTGAATTACTAAAAACCCTCTTAACCCGGTTATGATGCTTAAAGTAGCCTCATGTTTTGAAATGCTGTTTTTATATTGTTTACTTATAAGAGAAATGGACCGAGAAATCGAAGCGGCATAGACAAAGACGGATTGTCGGGGATTAAATTTTAGCTACCTGCTACAATTTAGTACAACCCGGTCACACAAAGTTTTTTTAAAAGTACACCTCATTCATACGGATAATACATAATACATAATATATAATATTTTTTACTGTTTATGAAATAATACATGATTTATTGCAACGTTTCAACCCTTTAAAACAACCCTTAATGAGGAATTGAAGAATTTTTACCTGCTTGAAAACCCTCAATGATACAATACTAAATTCAATGAGATTATTTAAAACTCAAAACTTAAATTATGTAATTAGTGAAAGGGAAAATAAAAATTATTTGTGTATTATACAATTATACTTTATTATCAAAAATTTATATAGGTATCATCTAAAGAACTATCATCACTGTCGATCTGTTTGGACATGTGCGTGTATGTGTTTGTGCGTATATTACGCCTCCGATGCTTTCCAGATTTTTAAGTTTTAAGGGGTCAAAGAAGGTGGTCCTTACATGCAAATGCAACTAAAAACGTAATATCTCAGTTAATTTTTGCTCAGAAAAATTGAAAGAGAGTAAACATATTATAAAAAAAGACTTTTAATTTTGAACTCTTGCATTTTCACGTATCTTGTTAATGTTTGAATTATTTCGAAAAGAAGAAAATTTTTTTAAAAATTAAGAACAATTTCTTTTCATTATTTCAAACTTTTTTAAATTTAGGCATTCTAAATCGGCCAAACTTGCAGAGCCTATTATTAGTACCTAAATAAAGTCAATTGTACATGGATTACGCTTAGTCTCTATTTTAATGGTTCAGCCATAGATTTTATTGTTGATTTATTCTCCGAAAATATGAGATGATTTTATTTTCATCATAACTCCGCGAGTTTTTGAGCTACGAAATTTGTTCAAAAAGCATTTTAAAGGTCTTTCCAAGCACTTTAAAAAGGTTATATTCAATTTCTTCGAAAAATTAGTTCTTTCGCCATTATTTTACAGTAAAACGTTCCATTTTACTTTCCGAAAAATAAACAATCACCTTTAGAGAGTGATAACTCGGTTATTATTGCATCTACGGTAATCAACAAAAATTAATCGATTCGTTATTTCAAAAGCTTTATTTTTGCTTTATATGGGTTTTTCGGTAAAACGCAATGTTTTCGAGTTATTTATTAAACATTTTCAATCAGAAATAACTCGGAAAATATTAATTTTTGGAAAAAACGTTATGGAGCATTTTTTGCTTAGAGCAATTTTCTACTTACTGTTAAAATTTCACGTCAATCGGTGCATGTGTCAAGAATTCGGACCTAAAAACCGTCATATACTGAGCTACTCGTTTTGTGTTCATTCATACAGAGCTATACTTACAACTTCCTGATGACGATTTTAATTTGTTTAAATTTCATATATGCATTGTTGTACTGAGAGGTATTTATTGTTCGAATTAGTTCTGTTTTTTTATGATTTGGCTTAAAAAACTCTATTTCAGTTACCTACGTCACATGACATTTGAATTTATTTTTAATTATCAAATTTATTTTTTGTTCCAATAAAATTTTAAAAGATTGTTTCATTTGAAAATAACATTAGAAAGAAAAAATTCGGAATATAGGTATATTGTCGGTTTATAAAAGGAATTTTATTTATTACAAGAAGTTCAAAACGAAATCTACGTATACAAGAAAATCTTGAGAATTAATAAAAACCATATTCCAGATGCAGATGTACCTAACTGGCATCTTAGCTCTTAAATATAATATTTTGATAGGAAATTAACACGCCCGCATTAAAATTGCAAATTTCGAACTTATCTTAATTGCAAATTAAACAGCGAACTTCAATTTTTAATATCGGCGGCAAGACTAAAATATAAAACGTGTTCATCATTCGAGAACCCGCTAATAACGCAATTAAGAATTCAATTTAGTTCTAAATTAATTGTTAATTTGCCTCGTCTATTAACACAACCAAATTCGATCCGAATTTTTAAATTTTTTTGAATAGATGGAAACGCAAACTTATTTATGCCGATAGGTATATAATTTCCCTGTTGTCTGATAGAATTTGTTTTAATTTCAATGTTCTAAAAACTGTTTTACCAAAATTCTCAGCGCATTGTCAAACACGCACCCAAGTAATGATTTTCAATTTTCAAAAAATTGTACTTATGTTATGACCTTGTGAATGCAATAAACATTATATTGGAGAGAACTCTCGACATTTAAATATTGGAATAGATGAGCACAGAAGCTGCATTAAAAATGAGAATTTGATTCAATGATTGCATTCAGTAAGATTCAGCCAAAAATTTGGAGAAGGAGAAAAATATTATTGAAGAAAATTAAGAGAAAATTATTTTATTGGACGGTGAAGATTTGTTTCAAATTACTCAGTGAACTTAGGTCCTTATTGGTACAAATACGAACACTTACTGAAGTAAGTAATAATAGAATAAACATTATATATCTTTAACTACGAAAACAAGCAAAAACAAACACATTTAAACTGGCAAAAATAAAATACATACGAAAAGTCAGTGCCTAATGTTTTATTATATTTCTGTTTTTTTATTTAAGTGTGACAAAATAAAGCCTCACATCTCAGAAAATTATGTAAGAATATTATGTCAAAATCGATAAATGAATTGACATCAATCCATTACTATAGACACTGTAATAATGCTGAAGATAAAGTAATGGATAAATACATTAGCTTGAATCGCAAATTTAACTAAAATTTCCCAAAACAAGATTAAAGTTAATAAATTTGTACCAAAAGCGTTACTCGCTTCAACCCTTACTTTATCACATACCCATCACGACACCTATCGGACCAGATAAACATAAATTCCAAGTCAATAACTATAGAATTATGTCAGTAATACCACAATCTCTATAATCCACTGCTAAATGTTAAATAAACCCTAAATAAGGCCGGCTAGGGGATAATCCTAGGGGAGGAGGCCATATACACCCTACGCGCACCAAACCACGCACGAGAGCGGGGGTAAAACTCGCTGGATTCAGGCCCTTCCCACAAAGCCCAGATCACTGGGGGGCGTGGCCTCGCCCCACCACAAAAGCAACGGAGAAGTCCAAACATCTTCCCGACCTCCCCCTCCCCTCCCCGGGGTGGTCCTTCGGCACCCAAATAGATGGTCTGACTGACAATCCATGGTGAAGGGACAGTAGTGCATCTTACATCACTTTGGTGGTATTGCAAGGGCGTCCAATGTGGTGTTTTCGTTGTGGTGTACGTGAAGTCGGTAGTTCGCCCATGGTATGAGTGTAGGGTGCTGAGGACCCAGTGATATTCGTTGAGGAACTGATTCTTAGTCATGCTGGAGTTCTACCCCAACCTGAATCTGAATGCCGCACTGTTGCCGGAGCGTAGCGGATTGCCGGGACCTGATTGTAATGGAAGAGCAGGTGAGTGGCTTGAGAAAGAAGCCGTGTTCTTAGAAAAATTAGACACAGCTTTGGCGGAGAAAGATACTCAGTTTCAGAAAGGTGGGAATAAGTCGGAAATCTTCGTCAAAGCATTAAATATTAAACTTGCAGAAAGTAGTACTCAACAACGATTAATGAAATGAAATAGTCTGCCATGAACACTACTCTAGGCTCTTTTTCGCGAATGTTGAAGTATGTGTGTAGTGTGAGTAAGTGCAGCGATTTAAACTACCATATGACAACTAAGATCAAAAGAGATAGGAATAGTAACTACAAGTCAGATATTCACAAATAATCGCGAAAAAATGCCTAATATGCAGTCAAATGTTGTCGGGACACCCTGTATAAAAATATCAGTACATAATATGTACTGTACTGTAATAATATATTATATTATAAAGAACTTTTTAAGTCATCGTTAACAGATTGGCGACGATTAGTCTGGATTTTTGGATTTTTGTCAAGGACTTCAGTTATAGTTAACATTTCAATCAATTCTTTTTTTAAATAGGTTTGACAGTTTCTATTTGTTTGTTTATTCCTTCTACAGCTAGAGATATCGTATAATGTTTATTATATTATTATTAATAATAAGTTCGATTAGAAATTTGATATACATCTGTATTATTTTTCATCTGAAAAGTTTTGTCCGAGTCCCATTGAACATGACCATTTTCATACCAATTTAAACCATATTGCCACAGAGTGACGCAGAAATGTTTTGGTGTCAAGTCCACGTCGAGGATATACAACATGAATATGCCCTGTTTATAAAAAAGATAACAGAAATTGGCACAAAAATCGCAAATTTTTTAAAGAAATTAAATTCTGTTGGATTATAAACTTTTCGATGAAGCTCATGATTTCTTTATCAGGTAGGTCTCAATTTGTTCAAGACTGGGGAGGTAAGTCTGCAAAAATCATCCACTTTAGGAGTTCCTCAAAGTGCTGACCTTCGACGTTTGCTGTTCACAATTTTCATCAATGATATTGTCTCCGATTTGAACGTACGTCACTTGTTTTATGCTGATGACATGAAAATAGTTTGTTCTATAAAAACTTAGCTCAATGAAACTTAAATTTAATAAACTTCTTATATTTATATAAAGGTGCCCTCTCCTGCTTACCAAATGCGAGACCAAATGATTGAATTGATGTATTCTCCTCAAGAATAACACAGATAAAGAGTTCTTGTGATCAATTTCACTAATGTTTCCATTATTCGCCAGTATGACCTGGTCCAAAGACTGGAACACCCTTTGTATTCAACGATTCCTCTCCCGTATCAACGACGAACCAACTTCAGCAACAGAACGGACCATGAAAGCGCCAAAAAACCCTCCCACCCCCCCAGTATAAATATTGATAGAGCTGAAAGCTTGTAAAGCTCCTGCTGGAAAACCCGGAAGCCGGCTAATGACTGAAGCTGGTCGTGTCTCCGAGTAGGCGGAAGACAACCGGTCGAAGAGCACGCCTTGGAACACCGAAAGCGTTTCTGGCCCCGCATAATGAACCGTCGTCAGGCTATTAGCGGTGCAGTGGAGATTACATTAGGGAACCGCCAACCCCGTGCAATGCACGCCGGATTGAGCGACCGCTAGAGCGTGAGTCCGTTACTTAGACATTACATCGACGTTTTCGGCGAGGACTCTCGTGGATGCCACCTACGATTGCGACGCTTCGGTGGGTCGGCTAGTGGAGTCGCCTGGAGTGTTGACTCTCCCGGAGCGATCTACACGCTTACACCGAAAGAACAGTTTGAAGGGTAATAATAATATTAAGTAATAAAGACGGATTACTTATTTGTCTACACTGTATGAGATCGTCAAAGCGTCAGCAGCAAATAAAATTTACAAACATCTAACTAACATACTGGCAGAAGTACAAAAAGGGCAAAAAAGAGGGAGTTAAGGGTGTAAAAAAGCTCACAATAAACAATACAACAATGAAACATGTTGAAAATCAATACTGATTACAAAAAAACCTTCGACATAGTACCTCATGTACCACTAAGACATATTTTCCACTACAACAATAAAATGAAACACCAAAATACAACTAAAGACTAATAGCCAGTATGTTATAGGTTATTTTATTAATATTAGACGAGGAATAGCTCAAAGTGACGCCATAAGTGCTCTTTGGTTCTGTATATGTCGCAATTCTTTGTCAAATGCCCTTAATGCTACTCAGTACACTATAAAATAAACCGTTTTACGTATATGGATGAAAAATTAAACGCATCTACGCGAGCACAATTGCAGGGACGGTTAAAAACAACAGAAACAATATAATTTAAACAAACAATATAATTTAAAGTAAACAAATGTAATAAATCAAAAATAGATTGTCCAAATATACTACTAGATTCTACTTTGCTATTTTTTTAATCCAAGATCCGAACCCCTACCTAGGTACATTGAAACAGGCGTTCTCGAAAACGTATTCTGAAGCAATATATCGAATTAATGCGACACGGGGCAAACAGAGATAACTCGGTATCATATTTGCATGGCGTATAACTTGATTTTGATCTTTCTCGCTACGCCGCTTATTTGAATACAACAGGTGTTTTAATTAAATTGGGAAAATTTATAACGGCAGCATACACATTAGAAACGTACCGAACAGTATCAACTTAATGAATACTAAATAATCATCGTGAATGAACCCGCGAGAAGTTGAAAAATATAAATGACGCTGATTTTCCATAATGCTTACACAAAAGAAAAAATGTGTGCAATTGTAGCATTGTAGCCATTGTAGACAACAATTTATAAATTTATTACCTATATTAAATATTATATTTATAAAACATTAAAAAACTGATGTCGATATGTGGCACTTGAAAAGTTTTAAGTCATCGAACCACAGATTACTATCCATATAAATTTTATTTAAACAATGTTTATATTAATTGGTATTGCAAAATGAACTCACATACTTATGTTAAAAATGATTATATATAGCTTCTTATGGTTGTTTAGAAATATTAATATTTTGCAGCTAATGCCAACAAATAAGAAATTTGAATATTGTACATATACCTGAAAATTATACATTATCAGTATGATGCGACGTCCGTATATAAAATAATCAGAACTGAAGCATTTTAATACAATAGTGGAGTAAAAACTACTTAACAAAGGATTCTCATTGTACCTATTTTTTATACCTATAAATTTTTTAAATAGAAACAAAGTGTGCTAAAATGTATTCTTGTAAATATTTTCAAACTATGTACTTTCTACCACAAACACAGAGATATACATAAATTGTAGAAATGAAAGTAATATTTTTTTGTTAAATTATACGAAAATATATTTTTTATTATAGCATGTGTGGAGTGATGAGAACCCTAAAGATTAATAATGACATTACCTGATAGTCACAGCAATCAACATCTTGTTTTCATCGCCTACCGAACTCAAAGTTTTAAATCCGTGACATTGCTACGCAAGCCGAAACATACAGACCTGCAAATAACGCCATTTTTCTCAAGAACGGCTTTCTGTAGGCGATTTTCTCAAGGAACAATATATTTTTTTAAATAAAACGATCTTTTCAATGTTGCTGCGCATTTAAAAAAAATACGACCACTGTAAAAGTTTTGACCTCAAAAAGGGAGAGGTAACCGGAAAAACTATCACCTAGTATATCGATCGGCAAAAGGGTTATGAAGTTATTAATTAAATTAGTTTTATTTTTGACAATTTGAAAGCTTGTAATTCAAAAACCAAACATTTTTCATTTAACTTTTTTTCGTAGATCGTTTTTATTTATCGTCCTATTTATTGTACAACTATCACCGTCAAATAGGTATAGATTATTAGTTAAATATGTTACACTGATTGTTTTTTTACATCTTTAATATTGCTTTTATTTGTTACAGATAGCGGCCTGATAAAATGCGAAAAAACTTGGTGTGAGAACAATAACCTTCATAACACATTAGGTAAATAAAGATAGAGTTAATAAAATAATTGTTTTCGTTTGATATTTGTTGTTTCAGTAAGTTAACTTTCATAACAATTACATTATTAGCTTCTAACATCATATCGAGATAGAGACGTAGTTAATTGCTTAAATACATAAAATATTTTTAGAAGAGCTAAAGGAAAATGTAAATATGACACTGGTATTTTTCTAACGAATTTTATTTTCATATAATTTTATTTATTTTAACTTTTTTGTAACTCAAATTTGGTTATGGAAATACACATTACCATACAATCAAATAATATGCATTTTGCTCTTCACATCACATGTTATACATATCTACATACAGGATGTTTCACTTATTTTCGGACAAATTTGAAACACTCATATTTAAAAATGTTAACATTTCAATATTCGAATTCTTCCTTAAAGTTCAATACGTATACCTATGTCATTAAATCAATCTTTCATATTTGTATGTCAGCAAATTAAATAAAAAAATATTCATATTATCACCTTTGAACTACTTAATTATTCGATAAGAAAAACGTACGACTTTAAAAAATATGCTATTATATGATATTTCAATTATTTGGAGATACTTACTTAATTTATCTTTAACACAACTCTTTCGATAATTACGTAAACCACCTTCTGCCATTTTTAAAAACTTTTCAGGAAATTGAAAAAACGCCTGCTAAACATAAATTAAATATCTGTTTTACATTCTAAAGAGATAGGCTTCCCATATATTCTCACTTTTATTGAATTGTTCAAACAATTTGCCAATAAATAAAGTACGAAAAGAAAGACACGAACCCCCCAATAACATTTCAGAATTAAGTCTTATCAAAAAAAGTTTCAGATAAACGTTGTAGGATATTAAGAAACGAATTTGCTGATAATCTTGGATTTGACCTTGACCTTTGAAATTTCAAGGTCAAACCGGTTAACAGTTATTTAATGAAACAACTAATTTTTTATACCAGCAATCGATATTTGGCGCTTAATTGATTGCAAGCATAGAAAATAATGTGTTCTATTTGATATTTCCAAGTTGACCTTCGTTTGACTTTGAATCTTAGGGTCAAGGTCACCAGCTTATTGGTTTCTTGATAACCTACAACTTTTATCTGAAACTTTTTTGAAAGAAAAGTGAATGGGGGTCCGCGTCTTTTTGGAACACCATTTGACAAAGTTTTGCGTGATTTTATAACTTCATCTCACTTTAATATTGCCATTGAAAAAATTAAAAAAACCGCTCTTATTAGTTTTCTCTATGGGACACCTATGCACTAATAAAATTCACGCAAACCGAAATGAACCATCCTGTATACCAAGTCCAATTCGCGGAATTTATTCCTGCGATCTCCTGAGCCACACGTACGCTTTTTTTCTCTATATGAGGGAGCGGCGGGAGAGGCGCGGAAAAAAGCGGTTGTCCTGCCGCTCACGTCGCGCCACCGTACCCCCTGAAACGGCCTCTATTTGTTGCAGATGGCGGGCTAATAAAATGCGAAAAAACTTATGAAATGTGCGAGGGCTGCGGCCAGAAAATCCACGACCGGTACCTGATGCGGGTGGCGGACACGAGCTGGCACGAGCGCTGCCTCAGCTGCTCCATCTGCGGCGTCCTGCTCACGCACTCCTGCTACACCAGGAACACCAAACTCTACTGCAAGGCTGACTACGATAGGTACGTTGCTGACTGAGTAAATAATAAATGGGTGTATTGGAATAGTGTGTGCGCTAGTCTGAGAGCAGTAACATTGCGACATTTATTGCGAGACCCCCTTATCTTTTTTACCCGTTTTTACACTTCTGTCAAAGAAAAAATGGTAAAGTCGAAAGCTATATCAAAATTTCTTGCCATATTAAGGCAATTTATAAAAAAAATTGACTATTGGATTTCAAAAATAAAAGTTTACCCCTACACCCTACACCCTATACAGTAGGGTAGGGAAAATCGACTATTTTTTTTTTACTTTATACTCTGAAAAATAGGTTGCTGGACACTAGAAAATTCTCTCCAAATATGAGCTCTTAATTTTAATAGGAAGGTCCTCCGCTTTACAGTTTTCCATTTTTTCCTCAGTATTAGAAAAAAAATTCATATCTCTATCAACTGTTCGTTAAAAATACCTCTCCTCATATACTTGTAGGAAATAGAAATTGCACACTCTACAAAATAGGTTTCTTACAATTTTTTCGTAAACGTCACCGTTTAAAAGATATTAAAGGTTGATGGTTGATTATTTTAAGACAAATTTCTGTTTTGCTTATGAATTTTATAACTCGTTAACAAAAAATCATTATGAAATGCGTAATTCATAGTGTTGCAGGAAATTAACTGCTCTACAAAAATAGTCTTATGATTAGTCGATTAAATAAAACGTTTAAAAGATATTCATCGTCACACTTCAATCCACGCCAATTTTAACAGTTTTTGATTAATAATTCGGAAAATTTCAATTTAGTTTATGAATTTCAGGGAAATTTATACAAATTTGAGTTTCTATCGTAAAAGTAACCATTATAGAGAAGTTCTTTGTTTGAAAATTTATTTGAAACTTTTATTCTGATAATATTTTTATAAATTTTAGGTATCTCTAATAATTTAAAATCCCGATTGTATTATTTTTTTTTGAAAGCGTGTGTTCAGAACGCATTTAAAAACTTTTTTCCACAAAATATACATACAATTTTTCGTTCTAGGGGATTTTTGTTTTGAATTTCATTACTTCTGCTCTTTGTCTTGTGAATCTAGCGACATCTATGTTTTTATTCTAAACTTATCTTTAGTGTCTACGTATCGTCCCGCATTTTCAGTGATTCTAAAACTCATGATCTCGTATACGTGATAAGTTAGTTTATTACAAATAAGTCTTATAATCACTACATAAATTTATTTATAAATAATTAACCTATAATGGATAAGGAAATTCCTTTGATCGGTATATCCATGCAAACAAAGTGCTAAAAATTCAATTGACCAAGTTATTGAACTGTGGAAAAAAATCACATTCCAACTAGTGGAGCTCCTAATGTAGTCAAAAAAATTCTTCGCTATCAAACTCAATGGTTAAAATAACAAAAATGTTTAAAAAAAAATCAGCACAAAACCAAAATGTTTCAAATTTTATAATTCACTTGATAATTAAATAAAAAAGCTTTTTAATAACAAATTGAACATTTTTTTCTTTAAGATTAATACTTTTCATAATAAATTTCTAACAAAAACGTCATTTTTTCAAGATTCAATGAATCATTGACTCAGTCAGAAATAATGTACTAATTTTTTTTCGACGTAACTAAACATACTTTCGACAAAAAAAACCTAGAAAAATAGTTTAAAACATTTCTCTGTTCATAGAAACTCAAATTTGTATAAATTTCCCTGAAACTCATAAACTAAATTGAAATTTTCCGAATTATTAATCAAAAACTGTTAAAATTGGCGTGCATTGAAGTTTGACGATGAATATATTTTAAACCCTTTATTTAATCGACTAATCATAAGAGACCATTTTTGTAGAGCAGTTAATTTCCTACAAAACTATGAATTGAGCATTTCATAATGATTTTTTGTTAACGAGTTATAAAATTCATAAGCAAAACAGAAATTTGTCTTAAAATAATCAAACTTCAACCTTTAATATCTTTTAAACGTTGAGGTTTACGAAAAAATTGTAAGAGACCTTTTTTGTAGAGCGTTCAATTTCCTATACAAGTATATGAGGAGATATATTTTTAACGAACAGTTGATAGAGAGATGAATTTTTTTTCTAATACTGACGAAAAAATGGAAAACTGTAAAGCGGAGTACCTTCCAAAAAATTGTGACAAAAACTTCCACTATTATTTTTTGCTCATAATCTTCGTATACCCTGTTGTATATGAACCAGTACCGACAATATCGGGGTGTTGTGTGGAGTGTCTCCGAGTATTTTTTTCTTTTTTATTCTTATAGGTACATCCCATCCATCCATAACAAAATATCGTAGTAATTCGGCTGCAATTTCGAATTACGATTCGCCCGACGCGACGCAACGAAGAAAAGAGACTTCCCGACTCGCATTCTTTATTAGAATCGACGGCGGCGGCGGTGGAGGCGGCGCTCTTTAAATATTCCCGTTCGTTTTTATACACCGGCGATATGAGTTTCGGGAGGCGCTCGAGCGGATCCAATAAAACCCCGACGGCGTCGCGGCGCTTTGTTAAAAATCCGCGGGGTTCCGACTGTACGCTCCGCGCTCGGATGAGAAATTATATTCTTTTCTATTGCTTATTGAAGTGTGCCACGACGGAGTTTTTGCTTGTTTTGCTACGCCTCCGGATCGGCCTGGTATTTTCTTTGATATATGGATACAACGCGATATCAGACCTGGTTAAAAAAACAATAACGTTGGTGTATGTGGGATATTGAGGTATATCGAAGTCTAAATCGAACGGTAATTTTTACTACGCTTTCAAATTTTTGAGATTCGCAAATTTAGTACATTATTCATTATTATTATTATCATTAGGACCTGAGTAAATGTTAGAAGTCTGGAATTGAGCACAACCTCTATTTGCGTTAAAATGGTGTACACTTCTTGGAAGGTACATTTGTCCAGATTTGAATTGCTTGCGTTGGAAATTTCATTTGCCATTTGCGTTGGATTAACATTTCTATAAGATTTGGCTTTATTTGACTCTGATTTTCACTCATTAGAAATATTAACAAGAATCCATTTCATTCATCTAACAGAGCTTCTTACCTCTAAATTCTCGATTTTAATTTAATTGCTACAGTAAGGTTAACCTTTTCATTATATGATAGATTGATTATCATTTATTTTACAGGTTCTAAGTATATTCAAATCACTTTCAATAGATCCCCTTTTCTTTGTAAGTGATTTTGGCTCGGACATCTATTATGTATTTATTTTTCACACAAAAAGGTTTAAGTTTAGGCAATAGGATAAAAAAAAAATGAAAAAACGACTCACGTTTGTTTACAAAACTGGAACTATGACTAACGGCTAACCTCTGGCTTGCTGCTCTGGTGAAGCTAGATCGCCGGCTTCAAGTCCTTTGGCTTTCGGAACTCCTCACTACACGCACACACAAACTTTTATAGAACACTGCACTGGATTCACTTGTTTTGTTTTTACTTTTATTAATCCCTTCGTTGGGACTTTTTAATTTCATTAATCCTGCCCGATGAATCACTATGTTATTTAAATTTAACTTGGTGACTCTAGTAATAAAATTCTTGTGGTATTGGTTCACTTTTCACTAATATTATACACAAAATTAACACTAATAATTGAGCTTGGCTGCATAATGAGACTACAGTTGATAGCGTCTTATAAACAAAAACAATCACACGCACAAGCCAACTGAATGTCGCGCGTTGTTGCGGTTAACTATCTTAAAGGACCTATAGGTGGCGCGCAACATTTCCGGCTAAAATTTGAATTTAAATATTTCAATTTAAATATAACAACAAATTTTTAATAATTTACCTACTGACTGCCACCAAAATAATATACCTTTTTTGTCAATAAATAGAATATATATAGTTTTAGTAATCAAATGCATGTTTTTATTCCTTGTGCTTGAGTTTTTGTCTCCTAGGTTAAGTAACATTTGTTTACATTTCCAGTACTATTCTAACTTCCGTGCGATTCCTCATTCGCGTCATAGAATACATAAAAAGGTACACAAAATATGTTTTGTATATGAGATGTCCTTACATGAACAAAGTTGATTTTCCTGCTTCATTCGCTTTTTTCTTTCAGAATATTCGGGGTAAAATGCTCGAGATGCGGCGACCGACTGCTTCCCCACGAAATGGTGATGAGGGCCCAACAACACGTTTTCCACCTACCCTGCTTTGTGTGCGTGGTGTGCTGCCAACCTCTGCAGAAAGGCGAACAGTTCGTCCTGCGGGCCGGCCAGCTCTTCTGCAGACAGGACTTCGAGAAGGAGATGTACCTCATGCAACAGGCTAGTTCGGGGGACGACGACCTACTAGACGAGAACAGTAGACCCAGGGACGGCAGGCGAGGGCCCAAAAGACCCAGGACCATCCTCACGTCGGCCCAAAGAAGGCAGTTCAAAGCCTCCTTCGAAGTCAGCCCTAAACCCTGCAGGAAGGTCCGGGAAGCTCTAGCCAAGGAAACTGGCCTCAGCGTAAGGGTGGTCCAGGTGTGGTTCCAGAACCAGAGGGCCAAGATGAAGAAGATCCAGCGCAAGGCCAAGCAGGACGACGGAAAGTCATCCGGTGATAAGGACAAAGGTGATAAGGATGATAAAGTTATTAAACAGGAATCACCGAGTAGTGAACACGGACACTATATGGGTCTGGGAAACTTGGGGGACTCGCATTTTCCGAGTTCCAGCCAACCGCTCAATCCTAACATTCCCTACTCACCAGATGGTAAATATATTTTTGAAATACTAATTCATAAATCAAGGTGGCTATTTTAATTACAATAACTACTTTTAGGGAGGTGGTTACACTAGTTGTGAATTCATAAAAAAATTTATTTTCTTCCAAATGATATGAAATTTTATCAAACTATTTGCATGAACAGAGCAGTTGCGTTGGATATGAATCCAATCTACGACAAAGTTCATATTTTACTTTTTTCATTCTGATGACCATATTTTACATAGAATAAATAAAAAATATTTTATTTTCTTTTGCCGACTCTGAATGATGACCACTAGCCAAACATTTGTCAAAATGTTATTTTAACTGTAATTGCTTTGCTGTGTGTTAGCATTAAAAGTAGACATCGTTGGATTCAATGTTATATTCATATTTGCCATTGCAAAACTGAGTGTACAGGGTGTCCACAAGAGAATGGGCCATACTTTAAAAGCTTTCTGCTTTAGATCAGTTATCAACCGAAAATGTTTCCTTGAAATTTGTTACGGGAGAGAGTTTATTATTATTGTAACTGGATATTGATATGAGCTTATATTTTTCCTAAAATTAAGAACGTCATAGTCTTTAATTTTTATTGTCTTTTGTTGGAGATTTTGAGAAAATGTAGATGTTTTTTAAAACAGCACTTGCGTAATGAGTATTTGAAAATATTCTAGTCTAATTTTTTTGCTAAATCTCCAAGTCACATAAATATTGTTTACAATTTAAATAAATTTACCACCATTCAAAAGTTAGCACCTACTGGGATATAATTCTGTGAATTTAACTTTGTGTACTAAATACAAAAGTATATATAAAAAAATACTAATTTTTTAAAAGGTTGTCGTATATGGAAAAAAATATATTTAATCTTGTTACAAATTTTGTAAGAGAGTGTATATGTAGGTACATATATATTTTTTAAACAATAAAAACTGCAAAAAATTATTTTTTTTTTGTTTCTTTTTAAATATCTCAAAAAATAATGATGGAATCGTCTTACTCTCAATAGGACTTGTGAAGAAAATAAAAAACCTAGAAAATGGTTTCTTGTGCGATCCGATCGGTTCATTTTTTACAGAGAAAATCCGGAAAAACCTTTAAAATAGCCCTTTCTTCAAAAATTCATAACTCCGTCGAATTTGAAGCTGGGAAAACAATCTTGCGGAAAATGACAGATAGTAATATGTAGTTTAATCGTGAGCAAGATGGTTTCTGTCCGATACATAGTTTTTTCACAATTGCTTTATAAACAAATTAGGGTCTTTTGTGGACAGCGTGTAGATTTATCAAAAATAATCCGATTTAAATTCTGAAAACGGCATCTGAAAGTAGACGACAAAATCTCCAATTTGTATATCTCGGATTTTCGTCTGGGTGATGGGAAATATGCTAAAAATGCTCTTTAAAAGTCTCCCGAAACCATCAAACGTACGCTCGAGCCAGAGTCGGGTAGCGGTATTAAGGAAAGCAGCAAGCGGAGGACTCTGGCTCGAGCATACTTTCGATCGTTTATATACAAATTTGAGATTTTATCGTCTACTTTCAGATGCCATTTTTAGAATTTAAATCTGAAAATTTGTGATAAATCGCCATGCTGTGCAAAAAGAGACCCTAATTTGTTTATAATGCAATTGTGCAAAACCTATACATCAGACAGAAACCATCTTGCGCACAATTAAACTACATATTATTATCTGTCATTTTCAGCAAGATTGTTTTTCCAGCTTTAAATTTGATGGTTATGAATTTTTGAAAAAAGGTCCATTTTAGAGGTTTTCCCGGATTTTCTCTTTTAAAAATGAACCGATTGGGTCGCACAAAAAACTACTTTATAGGTTTTTTCATTCTCTACAAGTCCTATTGAGAGTAAGACGATTACATAATTATTTTTCGAGATATTATAAAGAAAACCAAAAAATGTCATTTGTTTGCAGTTTTTATTGTTTAAAAAAAAAAAATTGTTCATGACTTTGCTGGGGAAATCACTTGAGTTTTCATTTACTAACTGTTTTTCCAAAGGAAATACATGAAATTTGCTGTAATATTTAACTATGCCAAAAAATCTCTATTGGTTGGTCTAAGATTATAGACATTCTGGATTAGTTTGGAGGGTAACTCAGTATACTGAGCCCCTTGGGTCCCTTATGCATCTTCCCAGCAAGAGATCAGCTCTCCTGAGCCGTCAACCAACATATCGAGGAGAATAAGGTGATAACGTTGCTCAGGGGGATCTCTCCGATACAGGTCATAGTTCTCCTAGCACGAATTCTCTCATTGATGAGACCCCAGTCTCGCAGAGCACATGAAAAACTGTCTCGTCCCTGCTCACAACCTCAGAAAGGTGTTTCGCACTTTCTCATATCTTAGAGGTGCTTCTTTAGCCAAAAGTGTCCGGTTTGAATGCTCGTCACCAAGTGAAGGCTTACCCTAGACATAGCCAGGTACTTTTTGGCTGTCTTTATAGACATTTACTATTTTGAATACACATAGTTGGCATAGCGCACTATATGATGTACGAATAAATTTTTGTATGAAATCACATCCAATGTAAGTGCCACCTTAACCTCCGTCTTGAAGAATCCATCTACAGAGAGTTCCCTAATAAGTAAAAACAATTGAAATTCAGATATTATTTGTTAAATCGATCTTAAGGTGCATATCTGTTATTATACACCCCTAATTATCTCATATTTCTGTTGTACTTGAGAAAAAAATAAAGAGACAAAACAAAAAAGGTAAAAAATAATAATAGAAGTGTTGAAAGAAATTAAAAGAGAGAATAGTTAATTTTCACATATTTAGTAAATAAATTGTGTCCGGTCCACATATATTTCACCCATTCCTCACCCCAAATCTCACATGGATGAATTTTTGTCTTGCAGACAACTACCCGGCCCACTCCGGGGAAAGCTTCTGCAGTTCGGACATCTCCCTCGACGATAGTACAAATTACGACCACCTTGACGAAGCCACGTCGGACACCCTCTCTTTACAGAACCTGGAGTTGCAGTCGCACTCTCACCATGGTGAAGGCGTTCCCACATCCAGTACCATAGCCAACCCCATCGACAAGCTCTACCTCATGCAGAACTCTTATTTCAGTACAGAACAATAGATATGTAGGAAATGAAAGAAAGAAAACCAAAAAAAAAGCCAGTGATGATTTATTTGTTTTATTTTTGTTTGTTGTTTTCGTTGATTATTTTGATGTTTTATTTTATTTATTTGTTTTATTTATTTTTAAAGAAATATTTTAAATTCAAAAAGTGAAGTGTTTCTTGTTTTACGACGTCAGTTACAAAATGGTTTTCCGACGGTTTTTTAAATTTTTCTTTGGAAATAAACGGTTTTCAATTTTGAACCCGATACGAAGTAGTTTCCGTGATGGCTTATTGTAACATAGAAACCAATTTATCCTAATTTGATGTACAGAAAGTTTTATGGAAAATTTAAATATTTAAAAAATATATATATAATTGATTGTCACTGTAAATATATGTTAAGTACGTAAATATAGATCTCCTGAGTCGAATTATTAATTGTGATGATATATTTATGCCAAATATAGTCTTTAATATTGCCTAGATTTTATTATGTATATTTTAAATAAAATAATAAACAAGGATATATCTTTTTTTACCTTGATAAATAAAAGCTCCAAAAATGCACACTGAGAAAAGTATTCCTCTACAATAGTATTTTTTCCATATAAGATTAGAGAAAGAACCTCAATAAACTTAAATATGAAAAGGTTTATTACCAGCTCTTTTTAAGAAAACAGTCTACAATAATAGTTATTATTACTTCTTAAATTAAATATACATCTAAAATATTAGAACTTATCTCGTAGGTACCGAAGCTTCTTTCCTAGCTGAATCTTGTAACAATTGTGTGTCAACTTCGTCAGCAGGTAATTGTACATATCGTACTACAGAGCCTCTAATGAAACAGTTTTTCACTGAAAGCTGATGGAAAATAGTTAGAATAAAGTAATGCTTATAAATTTATGTGGACTTACCATATGCGGATATTTTTCAGTGTCCGTTACGCTTATATCAGTTAATTTAATGTTTAAATATTGGTCGACAGAATGCAACGTCCCACAAATACTAAAACAAAATTAGAGACAATGAATACACATAATAAGCATTACCTGTGCGACTAAACTAGGTGCTATGTGTAATATGAATTGTATCTTAATATTATTTCGATTTAGAATTCTTGAACTTACCTTAAATCGTTTTTGAGTTCAACGACTACATCCTTACCAACCAAGGACTTGAAAAACGAGTAAAACAGCTGCAAAGTAATAATGTTAAAAAAATACAAATCGTTTAAGAAATATTACCTATCTCACCATTTTAAACGTTTTTTCAAATTCAACATAGGATAGTTGTAAATTATAGGTTAAGTTGTGACAACCAAAACCATTGATCATTGATTTCGATTAAAAGATGGATAGTGGACATTAAACACTGCTTTCAAAAATTCAGATCGGTTATATTAGTACAGCAGCGACCATAGAGATCCCCGGACCTTTAAATGGCTATGTGGTAGTCAAGGAGACTGTTGATTTGACAGTTGACTCAATTAATTAACATATCTACCTTTTAATTCCCCAGGTTATACTTCAGGATGCTAAGTTTAATTGCCATCATAAGCTTCTGACCGTAGGACTTAATTGAATTATTCTAATGAAAAATATGATATTAACAAAAAGTATTAACACTTATGTTTGCTTTTCTAGACCACTCAGTAGTTCATATTATGGTAAAAAGGTAGTTTATTGGGTTTATGTAAATGAATAGTTAACCCATAACTACACAAGTTAACTCTTCAAAAAGAAAAAAAAATCATTTATAGGTACAATTCATTTAGATAAATCATTTATAAATCTGAAAATGGTTTACTAACTTCTCAATTTACAATAATCAAAACATAAATATGTAGTACAAATAAAAATTATAACATAAAATACAATTACATATTTCCTTACAAATACACAATTATTTGTGTTCACTAGCATCATATGCAAATTTCAGAAGAAAGGGCCCTAGCCAGGACAAAAGGAGGTCCCACAAAGCGCCTACACCGGCCGCATTTGCGGTCGGGGTAGACGACGGATGGGGCCCACCTACGAAGGCTGTCCAGGCCTACATGAGATGAGGCAGGATAAAGAGGGATAATGCCCCTCGATCCCAAATCATTGAGGCCAATTTCTAGCCATGGAATAATGGCGAACAACATTGTCGCCACTATATTTCATAAAGTCACTGTAATATTTTCCATTATGTACATACTCCTAGATTATGTATTATGTTTTCGATGTAGTTTCTATTAGTTATGTTTAGATGGCAGCATAATCAAAAATGCTATCAAGCTGTCTCTGTTTAAAGTTTCAAATTAAAATGTCAAAGTCAGAACCTATTGTATGTTTTGTGCAAGGATTTTAAAGTCATTGTGTTTTGTGGTCAAAAGGTGTCAAAACCAAAAAAAGAAGACTATTACATAGATAAAGTAATAATGGACCATTGTACGACACTGATTCAAGTATCTATAAGCTAATAAATTTCCTGTTAGACAAAGAAACTGTTGAAATGGTCAGTCGAAACAAAAAATTGCAGATCCTGCATTGAAAAACAAATCAACTTTGATGTTGTGTTTTTAGTTTCTGTCACAAAATATATCTGTTTAGTGAACTTTGAATAGAAACTTGTTAAACAAACTCTAAATATGACATCCACAAAAGAGGCCACAGCTAGTTCAAAGAAATCCAGCACGGAAATGATTACACCTTACAAACTTACGGTTACTATTTTAATAAGGAATTATTGGAGATATCGCGAAGACGGTAAACCAGCGTAAAAAGTTTCTGGGTAGTTGCCTTATTATTTTATTTTAGATGAATTTAAGTGTATGGAAGATGAAGTTCTTCGGTGTAAATATAGACGTGACTTTAGTGTCCTAATACTACGGCTTTTACAAAGCCCTGATTTGCCATTGATGGAACTGAGAAATTTATTCACATCAAAGAAATATACATTACCAAAAACTTTAATAGATTCGTTCGATCAAACCTTAGCAGACTTAGACGAGAGTGGAATTGGTCAGTTGTTAGACATCATGGACAGTTTAAATAAAATTATGACATTTTCTGAGAACACCGTCAACGATAGTAAATCACTTTTATCAAGTACTAGCAACATTATCGCCAAAACGAGCGTAGTAGGGTATTATTTAAGAAGATTTATCATTCACTTTGATAAACTTACATTTTCCGAAGCAACTGGTGTGTATGAAGCATTTCAGAGGTACTACAACGAATGGAGGAAGAATTCAAAGTTTATGAACGTACAAGATCTTAATTTAGATGAGTGGTACGAACATATTTGTTGTAAACATTGTTACATTGAAATTTTAACTTAAATCTAATTATTTTAGGCGCAGTGATGGGGAACAATGGTCCAGACGACAGGCCGAATTGTTTATAGCAACTCAAGCAGCTTTACTGGCGAACAGAGAAAGCAAAGCTATGTCGCCTCCTGAGCTACAAAAAAGGATCTCGAGCATACTAAAATCCAATCCAGATTTGGCTGGTGCTGTAAGTTACTTGTCTTATTTTAGAAATCGTCTATATTTTCATTTTCTTCAGCATTTCCTCTCCTATTTAAATTACTTGCGAGTAGATGAATTTTGTGGAGCCGTAGACAGCCTCTTGCATTGCTTCGACAAAAATGTCGATCCGGATGTGAAGTGCTACAACGATGAAAAGAGTAAAAGGCACAGATTTGCGGCTCTGAACTTGGCGATACTGCATTATCATTTCGGACACATGTAAATATTTATTTTCATAATACTCAGCTGTATTACGGAAACGTTTCGCTTATTTAAACGATATCGTTAATTTTTAATCTGCTAGCATTTTAGTGATAAATACAAAAATTTGAATCACAGATACGAAGTAGTAGAAAAGACTGACTTGAATTTTACTAGGAGAAATTATTATTAGCTAATATATATGTTTAAAGAAAAATAAGCATCGCCACTCGATAAAATTAGCTTATGATCCGTAATACTGCCGATTATGTCATATCAAAGCAATAACTGTACGTGCCTATGGACTGTATTGGTGCCTCTTTTTAGTGAAGAAGCACTGGCGTCCTTGAAGGAATCGATAAAGGTTTCTCAAGAGGCTCGCGACAACGTCTGCCTCCAACACGCCCTCTCTTGGTTATACCGGCTAACGACCGTAAATGAAGATAAGTTAATCGTCCACTGCATACTCAAAAGTTCAGAACTGAGTTTGAGTTATACTGCGTCACTTGGATTGCAGACGTTTGGGCAGTACAGTTGTTTACATTCGGGTAGAACGTATGCAACATTCGAGGTAAGACCACATAATTCTCAAGAAAAAACGTCAAAATGTCTTTTCAGACCTTATCGAAGAGCGACATGATCAACTGCCAACACAGCTACAAAGACCTCACTTCCAGCAACTACTCCATGAAATCTTCACTGTGGCAGCTGTATGGTAAAACGGAGATGTCTTCTTTATGGAGTCAACTTTTGCTCTATCTGAACATCGATTCCAGTTCTCCGAGCAAAGCTTTCTACGGCGAAGGCTTCTGTCTGGCGATTTGTAACATCGCTAATCACTTACTCATTCAGGGGGATTACAATTTGGTGATTGCCGTTCTCAATTTTGCCAAAGAGGGGTTTCCGAATGAACCCCAGTCCCACGTATGGATGCTTTGCGAGAATTTGTTTGTCTTCACTCAGGCGCTGCACCATGAGAATTGGGCCGAGGCAGAGTCGGCGGCTCAGAAAATCAGAGTCATGGACAAGTGGGAAGGTTGTCTAAGGCTAGCGGAGGTCTACTTCTATAAACAAGACTACAGTGAAGCCGATAACTGCATCAACACCTTACTGAACCAATACGAGAGCGACAGTACTTACAAGTTTAACGATAGATATTATTACGTGAGAGCTAAGATACTAAAAGCGGAGATCCAATTCGCCAGCAGTTATCCCGCTTCTGTTCCCGCTGGCATTATCACCATTTTAAACAACTGTTTGATAGAAGCGCAATCTTGCCAGTTGGATTATCAAGCAGCCCTTATTCACTTGCACATAGCGAACACCATGCTCGTGCTCGGTTTGACCGGACACGCTTTGAGGATCTTGGATAGGTGTTTGATTCAAATCTTAGGGCACGGCGGGTGCTTTGACAGAGCAAGGGCGACGCTGCTGTATGTCAAGTGTTTGGTAGCGGACTCGCATAAGTGCGGCGATGCCGAAAGGAGCGGGATCATTTTGAGCTCCGCAAAGTTGCTGGAAAAGGTTAAGAATGACTTTGAGAAGGTTGAGGCTTATTCGAGGATGAAAGATGTTCTGTTTTTGCAGGTATGACATATTTAATAATGATTTTCAATCATGTGACTTCTCATTGAGAAGTGATTATTAGTCAAATACAGTTTTAGTCATGACTAAATGACTAATAACTTCTTGCAAAATAGACAATTCTGAGAATTATTTTTCGTGAAAAAAAAAGTGGATCAAGTACGTTATTACAGGAAAAAATCTACTCATTAAAATAGCGGCACAAGTTCCCATGATAATTTTTCGATTTTTCGAAAACTCAAAACTAGCAGAATCACATAACCTTAAAGTTATTTATTCAATTGAATTGACCGATATTAATTTTGGGTTAAATATATATCTTTTTAATTTTACCAAAAAAATTCTGAAGCTGCAAAATGCTCAATGAATTCCTTAATTGTTTTCTTAATTAAATATATTAAAAATCGTTTAAAAAAATTTTTCAGGAGTCCTTCTTGTTTCTAGTTGATAACTGTTTACGAGAAAGGATAATTTAATGTCTTGGAGTACTTAAAACAGTTTAAATTTGTGGAATCACTCCATAAAGTTTTTATTTATATTTTTTGGACACCCTGTACAATAAGTCATTATTTTTCATTTATAAATATTTTAAGTACTTGGAAAAAAGCAGCAAACTTAGAAAAATTAATAAAACAATTATTGTTTAAATACAAATACAGTGTGTCCAAGATAAGGATGGGATAGCATTAAGGATCTAGGAAACGGTAAGAGATACTGGGTGGCTCACATTAGAAAAAAGTAGTTTTTTTATACCTACCAGTATGCCGTTTAGACAGTTTTAGAATATCAGGTAGTTCCGGAGATATCGGAAATAACTCGAAATTTTGCAAAATAGTTTTATTTTTTTCTCTGACTTTATTTGAAAACGAGTTTTAAAATAGATTGCATATTTACATTGCCACTTTTTTCGCTCTATCCAATAGAGTCAACATTTTTGCAATCCGATGTTTCGTCTTTGAGGGGCCATCATCAGGCAAATTTTTTAAATACGTCGCTGCTATTTTTATGACAAAATCTAGTTATTTTTAATTTTTTAGCTATCATTTAAAATTTTTCCTGAGTACGACTCTGAACAACTTTTTTAAATTATCGATTAAAAAAAATAGTAGCAACGTATTTAAAAAATTAAACTGATGATGGCCTCTCGAAGACAAAACGTCGGATTGCAAAAATGTTGATGCAATTGGATAGGTATTTAAAGAGAAAAATGTTTATTTTGTTGATTATTAAAAATACTACCTGAAACATAAAATTATTTTTTCGGCCTTATCTTTTTAAATTAATTTTATGATTTCTTATTCTGATTCTGCAATTTTTAGTTTAGATCAGCGGTTTTCAAACTTTTGCAACTTGCGGAACCCGGCTAACATTTCGATTTTTTTGAGGAACCCCCATACCTAAAAAAAAATTCAAACACTTTTTTAACTTATTATATAATATATTTATTTATAAATGCTACGATTAACAAAATAAATATTATCGTATTCGATGCAAAGTAGAGCATTTTTAGGAAGCGTAAGATGAACCATTTCAAATTTAAAATGAAATTGAATGTAATATCTTCATACGCACTCTGTTCTGGTAGTAACTGTAATCGCCCAGGTGCATCGAGTGTACAAAGTGGTCGGTTATACGTCAAATACTAACCTGGCGAGCTTGGTCGTAAATCAGAGACTGCCTCCAAAAAGCAAGTAAACAACAGTGGCACCTACAGAGGTGAAATGTAGTACATATGTGGAATTTAAACAACAAATTGGATTTATAATAAATTACATTTAAAACAAATAGTTTATGAGAACAAAGGTATTTTTCATCCCTTCTTAATGCACAAAGAAATTATTCAATTTCGAAACCCCCTAAAACCGTACTGCACTGGATCTCTTGATACACAATGACTTCGCTTCGAATATGATCCTACTACAAGCAAAAATTAAACTAATACTTTAAAGTTTAAGGTCAATATTTATTGGGTAATTAAAAAAAGTCTAAATATAATCAATGACTGGGATGTGCTTGAATATTTTTACATAATATATTGAAATTAGGTGCTATTGTCGTAAGTTGATCATATCATATCAGTAAGTTGCTGATAGCGTGTGCTTCTCAAGCAAAAATTCTAGCTACACTCATGCCCCAGAGAGGTTGTGGGGAATCCCAGGCTTCCGCGGAACACAGTTTGAATACCGCTGGTCTAGATTATGATTAATTAATTATTAGTCTTAATATTTGTTACTAATGACTAATCGATTAATCTACGAATGAATTACTAGTTTTAATCTTAACTCATTAATCGACCAAGAAATGCAAGACACTGTGTGCAGTGAGATTTTAAATAAATGTTTTTTGTAGGCGCAACTGTACAATTCAATAAATATGAAAACCGAAAGGAATAAATGTGCTTTGGAATATAGATTGTTGGATGAAGAACATACTACGAAAAATATTTATACCTTAGTTAAGTATCTTTAATTTTGTAAGTTTTAGTTCTTATGTTTTGTAAATATATTAGTTTTGTGAATTGAAAATGTATTTTTCATGGAGTTTCATTAAAAACTGGAGAAAAAATATTATTTAAACAGGAAAAACTTAAATAATGTTTTCGGTAAATTGAAACAGATTTTACCAATTTCCGCAGTCCATAATGCATGTAAAAATGCAAAGAAACTATTTCTCTAAGAAATTAAAAAATTTGTTTTGGAAAAATTGAATAATTTGAAGAACAATATTGTATGAAAAAAATTACGGTAGTGGTGCTTTTATAGAATAACAAAAAAATGTCTAGAAAAAAGTTTATTTAAAAATAAAATTATGGAAAACCAATAAAACAGACCGTGATCGACATAATTACTAAATCATATTTTTTTATTTTCCATTTAGGTAAAAATAAAAACTTATTTTCCAATTATTTCTCTAAAAAATTCAAAGATTGTTGTATTTTAGTAAAACTAATTATTTTTATAATTTGTGGAATGAAGCATTATTAATTGTTGACAAAGCAATAGTGGTTTAGTGCTATGACGACCCATGCTGATATTTGAAGTACCATTGCTTTTCCGGTTGCTATGCCCTGGCCTATGTACCTGGTCGTCGCCTTAACCTACTAGGAATCTGACTTACCTTCGTTGTTCTCGGGCTAAGTTCCGTGGGGGCGGACCCGCTATCAGAACCTCTAGGTGCGCTCTTATGATGATATCGGTGCTTGTGGGAGTACAATGTACGGTTGTAACTAGCTGCGAGATCTCAGACGCTTTATTAGCAAAATATGACCACCTTAATTTTTGCCAGTAGCCACTGTAGAGATTTTATAAGGACTCATTTAGAAAGCAATTATTTGGCATATATTTATTCCTCATCTATGAAATTATACTAACAACTACTACATCTTGTAAATTTTCATTTTTTATGATTGTTATTTCTTTTTCCTTTTTTTAGTTTTGAAAAGTTATTTTTTCTAAGATTCGCTTTGCAGGTACATAACCGCAGACAGATAGTGGAATGCTTATGTCTTTGTAATAGGTGCCTTTTTTGTCCGTTCGAACGTCGCTTTATTTATGGTCCCCATTAAGAAATAGTATAGGTAATTAATATGTCCAAACACTTATAATTAAATTAAACATAAAAGTTGTAATTAATAACGTAATAGCATATTAGTAATTGTTCCTTAATTGGCACAAGGAACATCTATTATTTCATTATGAGTAAGTTCATATGGTCGTAAAGTCTTATAAGTATTCAGCAGATACATAAAACTTCGCGTCGTTCGGCCGTTTGCTTCAATTTGTTAAATGGGCGTTAGTTGAATTGAAAGCGAATGAGAACCCACGCGTGATGTTTTCAGTGCGAATTCAACTGCTATAAGTGTTTCAAACTCAAAAAGTAAGTTTGTTTACATTCGAATTATTGCTTACAATTGTGCGTTCAGTCATTTCCGATATCATCAACCAATACCTACGAAAAAGTGTAAATGAGGGAGTTTAGATATTTGAAACGGAAGGAATGTTTTTTTTTTATATAATGGAAATGATCTTTTTAACAATTATTTGCAATATTTTATAGTTCTCTTTGTTTTATCCTATTGTATATATAAAAATGTTATTTTGCAAATGTTATATCATTATAAAAACATTTTTAACTTTAGACCACGAATTCAATATTTTTAACCTGAGATGTATACATTGTATTATGGTTTTAGTAAAATCAAAATTCTCCAAAAAAGTAGGTACTCAAAAATAAAAATTACTCTCTTTCATTAACAGAAGTTTAGAAGGAATGGTTCAGGAATAATGTAAAAGATTTTCTCTAAACCTAGGTTTGTTTCATAATGTTTATATTATTTGTTGCATATTTTACCAAATCTACGAAAAATTCCTTATAAAACAAAGAAATACGTACCATGTACCATTATCCCTGCTTAATCAATTATTTTTGCAATCCAAAAAGTAAATAAAATAAAAATTTAATACCCTACGTTTTATTTGCTTTTAATTAAAATGGCAAAGTATTCCTTAAACCCTGAGACACGCTGCTACTGATAATAAGGTTGAAAATATTAGATATACACTGAGATACACTCAACCACAGTAATTTAGAAAGGAACAACGGTGGCCGATGAAATATGGAAAAAATGGTGATCCTCTACAATATTACTTTTTAATGAAAAATAAATATCGTAAACAGTCAGTTAAAAACATTTTAAAAATATTGTGCGTTGTTAAAGAGCATTATATTTGAAAATTCCAAGATTCAGAATTCTTGCACCTTCCAATATGCATTTTTATGCAATCATTGTCTCTTTTATATGCGACACCAGTTAATCCTTATAGCCCGTTTATATTGCTGCGTTTTTGGAATTCATAATTTTTTTCACAATTCACACAGTCGCTGATGTATTAAAACCCCATTCTCTGTACTTTACATGCAAGTTTTGTCTTGTAAACACCCATTCCCCTTTTAAACGATGAGAGAATAATCCGTGATGGATATTACTTATTGCAAATTTATTTATCGTGAGTAAGCGGGTACCATTAACAGTAACAATTAAAAAAATAGCCACAGTCAACATTACTAAACCATATTGATAAGGATAAAGTGTCTCATAGTGTAAATTCAAAATAATTGTGTTACTGGGTCTTATCGGTGACACTGTTTTGTTACAATTTCGATATGTACATATTGTGTAAAAACAGTTCTGGATAAAAAGTTATCTCGGGAAGGGTATATTATTGCAGCAGTGCAATACTGCAATATTAGTATTAAAAGTGTTCAAGAGATCAAAGAATGGGAAATTAATAACTAATCAGTAAGTTGAAAATCTCCGTAGCAAAATACTGTAAGTATAATATAGTTATTTTATAATTGTTACAATTTATAATTATTAAGTTTCCATAATATCGACTTTTTAAGTTTTCAAATACAAATATTTAAATAAAATACTTATATTCTAAGAATAAATTTGTCTTATAATTAAAAAAACTCCAAAAAGTTGGTCTTCAATGAAGCCAAACTACGATTTCAAAACAACAACAAAATAAAATTATATTTTTCAAAAATTAGTTTGAGTAGTAGTAGTAGGCAATCCTAGTCAGTTGGGTAATATCGATCATTTCAATTATCTGTCACAAGTGAAATGCAACCAACTATCACTAAAACTTTTTTAACATTTCAGTGGGTTTTACATTTATTTTAAAAAAATAGATATCCGCAAAAAATTATTAAACAAGAGTCGTTGCTTTCGATTTTGGCTCTTATTTCTAGCACACCTTGTATATCCATCAGGCGGGCAGTTTATTTATATTGCGTGTCACTGAGAAAATGCTTTTGTGCAATGACGATCAAAACTGTTAGTTTAATATCAATCGAATATATTATAATTATGTCCCGGAACAATTCAAAATTTTTACACTACTTTTACTTCCGGAAATTTCGTGATTAAATTGTATTTAAAATCGCATTTCTAGAAAAAATGCTATGAACATATCGCACCTTCGCTTCAAAAGTGTCACAACTCAAAAAATTCAATTTTTGACATAATACTACCATTGATTTTGATTTTCAGTTAGTTGCAGTTAAAATGGTTCCAAAATGCTATTTGGTTTTTGGCCCCTTTGCTGAAACCTTTATAATCATCAATAATGTTTTTAAACAATTTAGTTACTTTTGTCGCTAGAGCTTTTTCATCTTTTCTGAAAAATGAAGGATTTTGACTTGTGACACTTTTGAAGCAAGGGTGCGATATGAAGAACAAATAAATTATCGATAATTTTTTTCGAATAGAATGGAAGAGATCCTTTTTCTTCAAGATACCCCTACAAGATATACAAATGGCGATCGCATTTTTAAAACATCTGGTCTAATTTCTAAGATCTTTAATAATACCTACATATACAGGGTGTTTTAAATAAATGAGAAATATTTTAGGGAGTGGTTGTCAAAGTTATTTTATGAAAAAAAGTTTATATGAACATATGTCGAAATATGCTTCGTTTCCGAGATACAGAGTGTTTAAATTTTAATTTTTTGTTTATTTTTATTAATTATTTTAGAGTTTTAAAGATATTGACTCGAAATTTGAAAAACGCTTTGGAGGGATAAATGTGTATTTTTTGAGGTGATCCGAATATTTATACTTGCACCTTTAAATAAACGATTAACAAAACCTACAATAAAATATGTTTTATTTTTTTCCTCAAAAACGGTACACCCTACAAAAAAAATTGAAGAGGCCAAATTTATTCAGAATTGATGACGAATTTCTAAAAAAATATCAAAACAGGAAAAAGTCAGTGGCGTACCATTTTTTTATTAAAAAAGTTTGTGGCATTCTCGCACGAACGCCACTGGTACAAGTAGAAACACTCGGATTACCCCAAAAAATGCACATTTATCCCAAGCGCTATACAAATTTCGAGTCAATATCTTAAAAACTCTCAAATAATTAAGAAAAATAAATAAAAAATTAAAATTTAAACACTGTATCTCGGAAACGAAGCATATTTCGACATACGTTTATATAAACTTTTTTTCACAAAATAGCTTCGGCAACCACCCCCTAAAATATTTCGTACTTATTTACAAACATCCAATATTATGTCAAATGGATTCAAGGCATTTAAAAAATGTGTTTTTATAAGAATAATAAATTATTTTTTAGAGTTTTAATATATTTACTAAAAAAAAGCTTAAATAAAAAATAAATTTAGTTTTTTCTTTATTCAAAAAGGCAAATAACCGCCGAAACTAGGTTTCAATACACAGGGTGTTCAGAAAATGCTGGGCAATCTTTCGGACCTGGATAAGAGCTTATTTAGCTCTTTAACAAAACTTTGCAACAAAAATAGATTTCCAACTCGAGAGCGCGAATGAAAAAAAAAAAAGAATAAAAACTCCTCCTAAAAGTTAAATGAACCCGCTCCCATTACGGTACCCCCACAGATGGAAGTTGTGATAATTTATATTCGCGCTAGGTGCACTTGTTCCGTAATATCAAAACGTAGCATGCGTTGGAAACGCCAGCCTAATT